GTTCATATAAACAAGAGAAAGGAGAGATCTTTTCACATTTTCAGGAATATAAAGAGTCATGTGACTCCTCTCAGCATTTCTCGAATGTCTTCCCCATACAATACTCTTGATTAGTTCAGACATACATTTCCAGAGATTGTTAGAGGAGAAAAATAAGGAAATATTTTAACAGTTTGCAGATTTGGAGCATCTTATGGTAAAATGTTTTTGTGGCTTCTCTTTGGTTTTTTTTTTTTTGTAGAGCCACATTCTGCTAATCCTTAAATAATACGGTTGATCAGCAATGCATGGAAGATTGTTCCTATTCATTATTAATCAGCGTATGGCTTCTCATCTATAATTTATATATTCTTTATATATGTTCCAGCCTTTACATTATTATGTTTGTCAGGTTGGAATCATTTGGTCATTTAGGTGATAGCAATGGTGGTTTGTATATAGTGGCTTGAGGTTTTATGTTCAGCCTCTGTTCTTAGCAGTACATGTTGGCTTCATCGCTCTGCTCTGCTGTGACAGTGAAGGGTCTTCGTATATTGCTGACATGTCTAAAGGCATTTATATCGGTGGCACAACCCCAGCGCTGCACAGCCCCTTCCTGCTAAGCCTGGCTGCTTTTACTGCAATGTCATAACAGGTAATGAAAGCTTCTGTACTACGACATGCATATGGAGCAAGTGTAGGAGCGAAGCATGAGAACACAGGAAAATAGTCTCTGCTGCGCCCGCTATTCAGACCTTATGATGCAAAACTGTGTTGCGGTGTTGGAGTCCCACTGTATGTGCTATTTGGTATGAAGTACTACTTGTTTTGGAGACAGAGGTATGTAGATAGTGAGCTGTGTACAGAGGTAAGTAGTTAGTGAGCTGTGTATAGTGGTAAGTAGTTAGTGAGCTGTGTATAGTGGTAAGTAGATAGTGAGCTGTGTACAGTGGTAAGTAGTTAGTGAGCTGCATACAGAGGTAAGTAGTAGTGAGCTGTGTACAGAGGTAAGTAGATAGTGAGCTGTGTACAGAGGTATGTAGATAGTGAGCTGTGTACAGTGGTAAATAGTAGTTAGTGAGCTGTGTACAGTGGTAAGTAGATAGTGAGCTGTGTACAGAGATAAGTAGTTAGTGAGCTGTGTACAGAGGTAAGTAGTTAGTGAGCTGTGTACAGTGCTAAGTAGATAGTGAGCTGTGTACAGTGGTAAGTAGTTAGTGAGCTGTGTACAGTGGTAAGTAGTTAGTGAGCTGTGTACTGAGGTAAGTAGTTAGTGAGCTGTGTACAGAGGTAAGTAGTTAGTGAGCTGTGTATAGTGGTAAGTAGATAGTGAGCTGTGTATAGTGGTAAGTAGTTAGTGAGCTGTGGGCAGTGGTAAGTAGTTAGTGAGCTGTGTACAGTGGTAAGTAGTTAGTGAGCTGTGTACTTTGGTAAGTAGATAGGGAGCTGTGTACAGTGGTAAGTAGTTAGTGAGCTGTGGGCAGTGGTAAGTAGTGAGCTGTGTACAGTGGTAAGTAGTTAGTGAGCTGTGTACAGTGGTAAGTAGTTAGTGAGCTGTGTACAGTAGTAAGTAGTTAGTGAGCTGTGTACAGTAGTAAGTAGTTAGTGAGCTGTGTATAGTGTAAGTAGATAGTGAGCTGTGTATAGTGGTAAGTAGTTAGTGAGCTGTGTACTTAGTAAGTAGTTAGGGAGCTGTGTATAGTGGTAAGTAGATAGTGAGCTGTGTATAGTGGTAAGTAGTTAGTGAGCTGCGTACAGTGGTAAGTAGATAGGGAGCTGTGTACAGTGGTAAGTAGTTAGTGAGCTGTGGGCAGTGGTAAGAGTGTAGCTGCGTACAGTGGTAAGTGTGAGCTGTGTACAGTGAGAGGTAAGTAGTTAGTGAGCTGTGTACAGTGAGAGGTAAGTAGTTAGTGAGCTGTGTACAGTGAGAGGTAAGTAGTTAGTGAGCTGTGTACAGTGGAGGTAAGTAGTTAGTGAGCTGTGTACAGTGGTAAGTAGTTAGTGAGCTGTGTACAGTGGTAAGTAGTTAGTGAGCTGTGTACAGTGGTAAGTAGTTAGTGAGCTGTGTACAGTGAGAGGTAAGTAGTTAGTGAGCTGTGTACAGTGAGAGGTAAGTAGTTAGTGAGCTGTGTACAGTGAGAGGTAAGTAGTTAGTGAGCTGTGTACAGTGAGAGGTAAGTAGTTAGTGAGCTGTGCACAGTGGTAAGTAGTTAGTGAGCTGTGTACAGTGAGAGGTAAGTAGTTAGTGAGCTGTGTACAGTGAGAGGTAAGTAGTTAATGAGCTGTGTACAGTGAGAGGTAAGTAGTTAGCGAGCTGTGTATGTACAGTAGAATAAAGCACTCTTTTAATGCCATTCTTCTGCTATCCCGGTGTGCTGCCATCCTCTTTAATTCCATGCGAGTGAGTCACATGGCAGTGACATAAAGCGTCAGATGACATCATAAATTACTTGGACTTCCATAATGCGCTTGTCAAGCGGTATGCGGAGAAGAGGAATGTAAGTCGGCATTGCCATATTTCATATCTAACAATAGCTGCATTATACAGCAGATTTGCATTAGAGCTGTGCGTGGCCTTAATGAACTCGCACTGACTTGCGTACACACGATCGGGGCTGACGTCAGTATGTCGGGGGAATATGCCAAAAAAAAAGTGTCATGCGATACTATCAATTTAGTACACGAGGTCTGTCTCTAAAGTGCTGCTAATGCAGAGCTGAAAATATGGATCATCGCTGCTCCTGGCTGCCTGTCGCAGGGGCTGGATCGCACTGAGGCTGGCTGGCAGCAATAGACTTTGCAGCATATGTTCGGTGGAGCTCCACCTTTGTGGAAAAGTTGATACTGTAGCAACATAATAGTACATTTTTAAAATAGTAATCATTATCTTTTGTGGAAGTTATAATAAAATGGATCCAAGACTTGTATAATTACCCGTAAGGCAAGGATCACAGTTCTGCGACCTGCATTGTGCATGTAGGCACCCCAGAGTTTTTCTTCTCAGAGAATAGGTGCAGGAACTCCCCCGCTTTTGAGTCACCCCTTCTCTATGCCCCCTACCCACCCCTGAGCACCACCCCTTGCTTCCACCCCCTACCCACCCCTGAGCACCACCACTTGGTTTCACCCCCTACCCATTCCTGAGCACCGCTCCTTGGTTCCACCCCCTGCTCCCCCTGAGCACAACCCCTTGGCTTTACCCCTTGAGCACTGGCGCTTGGTTTCACCCCATACCCACCCCTGAGCACCGCTCCTTGGTTCCACCCCCTGCCCACCCCTGAGCACCACTCTTGGTTCTACCCCTTGAGCACCACCCCTTGGTTCCACCTCCTACCCACCTCTGAGCACCACCCCTTGGTTCCACCCCCTACCCACCCCTGAGCACCACCCCTTGGTTCCACCCCCTACCCACCCCTGATCACTGCCACTTAGTTTCACCCTCTACCCATTCCTGAGCACCGCTCCTTGGTTCCACCCCCTGCCCCCCCCCCCCGAGCACCACCCCTTGGTTTTACCCCCTTGAGCACTGGCGCTTGGTTTCACCCCCTACCCACCCCTGAGCACCGCTCCTTGGTTCCACCCCCTGCCCACCCCTGAGCACCACCCCTCGGTTCTACCCCTTGAGCACCACCACTTGGTTCCACCTCCTACCCACCTCTGAGCACCACCCCTTGGTTCCACCCCCTACCCACCCCTGAGCACAACCCCTTGGTTCCACCTCCTGAGCACCGCCACTTGGTTCAACCCCCTACCCAACTCTGAGCACTGCCCCCGGGTTCCACCCTCTACCCACCTTCAAGCACCAGCCCTTTGTACCTCCCCCTACCTACCTCCAAGCACGGTCACTTGATTCCACACCCTACCCACCTCCCAGTACCGCTCCTTTTAGATAATACAGAACCAAGTATTATTTTGTGGTGCAAGTTATTTGTATGCAATTTGTTCATGATAACAGCAAAAGGCAGTAAAATAGATGCCCTCCAGCCACCCACAATAGATCCCCAAAGCAACAATAGATCCACCTCCAGAAACAATAGACCCTCCTATAACAATAGAATCACCCCAGTAACTATGGACTTCCCGCAACATAATACCACCCCAGCAATTGTAGATGCCACAGCAGCAACAGCCGATCTCCCAGCAGCCAGCATCTAATAGACCTCTTTCTAAACAGTAGATCCCTCCCAGAAACAACTGACCCCCACCAACAAAAATAGATTTCCCGCTAGCAACAACAGAACTCTCCAGTAACAATAGACCTTCGCATAAAAAGAGATCCCCTTCAGGTACAATAGATCCCCAGCAAGATGCATCAATAGACCCTCCAGCACCCCTTGCCATTACATACTGTACATTCAGTGCTGGAGGTGTCGGAACTGCGTACTCTCAAGTTCCTGCTGAAAAAAGCCTTGAGGCATCCAATTCCTTTTTTTAGTGGGTTGCCCTACATGGAGAAAAGCAGGGAAAAAAATTCCTGTCCCAGCCCCATGTGATGTGGCATGCGTGAAAGCGTAGCATGCTTGGCGGTGCATGGGGGTGCCATTAAGAACTAATAGCTCCGTTGCATGTTTGCTGAAGAGCAGTGCAGTTTGCCTGCGTGCAGGGAGCACACACACACAGTTTGGCGAGCGTTGCCAATCCGCAAAACTGTGAACCTAGCCTAAGAGTTGGAATGATGGTTAAAGCACAACTCCATCCACAAAAAACGGGATAAAACGAAGAGTAGATTATGAGATAAAATAACAAAACCAGCTTTTACTGCAATATTCACCTTCAGTCCAGAGATTTCCCTCAGTCTGATGGCCAGCATCTTTTAACCAACTTCCTCCTAGCCCAGGCCATCCCGGACAAGGCCCCAACCTGTGACTGGACAGTGAAAGGAGAAGCAGCACAGTGATGAGCTTAATGACATAAAATGGTGAAGGGCTAATAAATAATAAATATATATACATGTGCATAACACAAAAATGAAGTGATATGATCCTCCCTGGATCCAATGGTGAAAAATGAATATTAAATATTTAACCTCCCTGGAGGTATTCCCGAGTGTAGCTCAGGGTAAAGTTTCAGCACCAAAAGCGGTAACCCCGAGCTACACTAGGGAATACACTGCAGCGCTGCTCCGGGATCTCTTCTTCACTTACCTTGTCCTGCGCTCCCGCGATGTCCCCCCCTGCAGTGTCCCCTGTAATGTCCTCTGGCGGATGCCGGCATCTGTCTTCCGGGTTTTGTTCCCTGCTACATCGGGACATACGGAGGACTGAACTGGCGGGAAATTTGAAAAATTGTAAAAGTGACATTCACTAAAATCACATAGTTTAACCTCCCTGGCGGTATTCCCGAGTGTAGCTCGGGGTAAGGTTTCAGTACCACAAGCGGTAACCCCGAGCTACACTCAGGAATACCATGCGGCGCTGCTCCACGATCCCTGTATCACTTACCTTGTCCTGCGCTCCCGCGATGTCCCTCCTGCAGTGTCCCCGACAATGTAATCCGGCGGATGCCGGCATCTGTCATCTAGGTTCCGTCCCCTGTGAGCGTCGGGACGTACGGGGGACGGAACGGCGGGAAATTCAAAAATGACAAAAAGTGACATTCACTAAAATCACTAAAATCACATAATATTCCATTACTGTATCAAACCATTTCACATACATTTTGTCCCTAATGCTTTGTCCTGGGCCCTGCCTGCATTTTTACTGTTCTTATTGCCTGGAAACTGAGAAATGTCCATGGTGTCCAAAAAGCGTCACTTTAGGTCAAAATCGGTTTTAGACCAGCTAGAGAACAGAGATAGTAAATCAGAACCACTTGCAGAATTGAGTGATAATGATTTGTGGGGAAATTCGTCATCAAACAGTGAAAACGATTTTGCGACTTTGCTCAGTGATGTGCGAACTTGGCGCTATATTTCACATTTCAGTGTTTTTGGTTTGATTATATTATTAAATTAAATTTATTATTATTATATTATTATTTTTTTATGATTATTTATTAAATTATAATTTTATGATTTAGTGTTTCAAATTTTATCCTACCCGGGATGTTTACTAGACTCTTGTTCGGACAGATTTCAGTGAGTTATTCCTAAAAATTACAGCCCGACAATAAAAAAAAAAACATATTTCCATGCAAAATAATGGTACCGCTTTCAGCACCAAAAATCTGAAATAATCATACCGCTAGGGAGGTTAACATTCCTGTATCAAACCATTTCACATACATTTTGTGCCGAGTGCTTTGTCCGGCGCCCTGCCTGCATTTTTACTGTTCTTTGTGCCTGGAAACTGAGAAACGTCCATGGCGTCCAAAAAGCGTCCCTTTAGGTCAAAATCGGTTTTAGACCGGCTAGAGAACAGCGATAGTAAATCAGAACCACTTGCAGAATTGAGTGATAATGATTCGTGGGGGAAATTCCTCATCAGACACTGAAAACGATTCTACGACTTTGCTCAGTGATGTGCGAACTTGGCGCTATATTTCACATTTCAGTGTTTTTGGTTTGATTATATTATTGAATTTAAATGTATTATTATATTATTATTTTTTATGATTATTTATTAAATTATAATTTATGATTTCGTGTTTCAAATTTTATCATACCCGGGATGTTTACTAGACTCTTGTCCGGACAGATTTCAGTGAGTTATTCCTAAAAATTACAGGCCTACAATAAAAAACGACATATTTCCATGCAAAAAAATGTACCGCTTTGAGCACAGAAATATGGACATAAACAGACTGCTAGGGAGGTTAATATTCATTTTTCACCATTGGATCCAGGGAGGATCATTTCACTTTATTTTTGTGTTATGCACATGTATATGTATTTATTATTTATTAGCGCTACACCATTTTATGTCATTTTGCATTTTTACCTATTGGGTTTAGGATTGGGTGTGAGCAGCTTCGGTTTAGGGATCATCCATTGAAGCGCAGGAGGATTTATCATCACAATGATGAGCTTATCTCTCTTTCACTCTGCTCTCTCCTCCTAACAACATTCTTGTCAGAACATGGACTGATTGGCTCCTAGCGCTGCTTCTTCCTCTAATACTCCAGCCCTGCTGTATAGGGACTGTGAGAGGTTGATACCAGGTCAAAATCAGGTATGTAAGTTGACCAAAGATGGATCGAAATTCATCTAATTCAGCAGTGACCCGCCAGGATATTTGGATTTAGCTCACCTTTTCATTTTCATGAAGAGGAGGACCTACCCTTTAAGTATGGGGTGTGGTATTTTAGCGGTAGGGGCACTTTGCAAATGGAATGAGTCAAAAGCCAGCAATTTTGTGAAGTGCGCCTTCCAATCAGTGCAGTAAAACAATGAACATTTGCAGGGGACCTGTGGCTCAGAATACTGGAACAGAATGTGTTGTTGCTGATATGAGTAAGTACATTAAGTCATCCTCCCATAAGGCCGCGCTTCAGATGTTGAGTGGATTAGAAACTCGTGCCAAGATGGCACACAAACAATACGGGATCATGTTACATGCGCTGAGCTCTACAGACGACTCATCAAATTTAATAAAACACCAAAAATTCACTCAAACTCCCCCGTTTCATTGCCAGAGGGGGGAACAAAACAATTCTTCAATGGCTCATAAGTCTTAGGGTCACCATATATGATACAATCTGACCATACAATCTTTGTACAATTTAACAAAACGATGTAATGTGAGCACCCCTCTAAACCAGGGGGCTACAAATTTGCAAAGCCATTTATAACTCCGCCCCAAATGACATCACCGATCTTGTCTCTAAATATCACCCAAACCGTCCTCTCCGTTCCTTGCAAGACCTCCTACTCTCTAGCTCCCTTGTCTCCTCCTCCCATGCTCGTCTCCAGGACTTCTCCAGAGCTTCCCCCATCCTCTGGAACTCTCTACCCCAATTTATCAGACTATCCCCTACTCTGCTCACTTTTAGGCAATCTCTGAGAACCTCTCTTTTCAGGGAAGCCTATCCTGCCCTCAGCTAATAATGCAATCTTCCACTCTTCCAACCAGTCCATCTCCCACAGTTACTTACTACCTTTTGTACCACTAGCCCCTCCCTCCTAGATTGTAAGCTCCCAGGATCAGGCCCTCCTATCCCCCTTGTATTGAACTGTATTGTTGCTGTATTGTCTCCCATAAATCCTGTATAATAATAACAATGCATGAGATAGTGGCACGATAGTACAATTATTGGATTACATTAGTCGCCTCTTGACCGCCTATCAAACACTTCTGAAAAGTGACCCGATTGTGGATTGCGTTTCAGAGGAGTAGCAGTGACTGTTGCAATTGTGAATGAGCACGTAGACGTTATCATTTGGGCGGATCAGGAACACTTGCAATATCATGTACGAACAAAACGCACTGCTCTTTGGCAGATGCACGGGGGTGCCATTCTTAATGCACCCTCCCACACGCACTTTGGCAAACATGACATGTTTTCGCATGCACCAAATTGCATAGTGTTATGGCACCACGCGACTCTGTGTGGCGCGATTAAAAAAAAAAAAGATTCAGGGAATTCATCTAAATACACTATATTGCCCCAAGTATTGTTCCGTCTGCCTTTCCACACACATGACCTTTAATGGCCCCCCAGTCTTAGTCCGTAGGGTTCAATATTGGGTTGGCCGGCCTTTCCAATCACATGACCTTTAATGGCCCCCCAGTCTTAGTCTGTAGGGTTCAATATTGGGTTGGCCGGCCTTTCCAATCACATGACCTTTAATGGCCCCCCAGTCTTAGTCCGTAGGGTTCAATACTGAGTTGGCCCCGCCCTTTGCAGCTATAACAGCTTCAACTCTTCTGGGAAGGCCGTCCACAAGGTTTAGGAGGGTATCTATGGGAAGGTTGGACCATTCTTCCAGAAGCACATTTGTCAAGTCAGGCACTGATGTCGGGGGAGGAGGCCTGGCTCACAGTCTCCACTCTAATTCATCCCAAAGGTGTTCTATGGGGTTGAGGTCAGGACTCTGCGCAGGCCAGTCAAGTTCCTCCACCCCAAACTGGCTCCTCCATGTCTTTATGGACCTTGCTTTGTGCACTGGTGTGCAGTCATGTTGGGACAGGAAGGGGCCATCCCCAAACTCTTCCCACAAAGTTGGGACTATGAAATTGTCCAAAATGTCTTGGTATGCTGACGCCTTAAGAGTTCCCTTCACTGGAACTAGGGGGCCAAGCCCAACCCCTGAGAAACAACCCAAAACCATAATCCCCCCTCCACCAAACTGTACACTTGGCACAATGCAGTCAGGCAAGTACCATTCTCCTGGCAACCGCCAAACCCACACACGTCCATCGGATTGCCAGTGGGAATGTGGGAAATATGTGCTAGTAGGGTAGAGAGAGAGAAAGAGAAACGGAGAAAGGGAGAGAGGGGAGAGAGAATCATATATACACACGCTCTCTCATTGGGGGGGGGGGGCGCACAATTTGTATGTTGACTAAGGCATCTCAAAACCTAAATACACCACTGGGAACACCAGAATCCAATGATTTGGAGGGCTGGCCCTATACTTTTGGCAATATAGTAAATTTATCTGGTTGACTGGAGTTCGGCAGTGGTTGTAAACTCTTCCATATACCCAATGAAGCGACTGGTCTCAGGTGATCCACAGAGATTCATCCTACATAAGTTGTACCTGTTTATCTGCAGTATTCTTTCCTCTATAACTGTTCAAAGTGCTGAATTTCTACAGCTTGTCTGAGAGTTTAGAAAGCAGGTGGCGGGGAGCTGAGGTTACATTCTGAAGAGCTCAGTGAGATCTGATTGCAGAGAAGGGACACACCCCCTTCACACAGCACACAGAAACAGAGCTGAGGCTGTCAATCACAGGCTGTGTGCTGGAGCTCCATCCCCGTGAACATTTTTTTTCTTGGTGTCAGGAAAAACTGTCAGACGTAACTCATGCTGATAACAGAAGAAGGAGGCAGTGGACAGAAATGACACTTAGTGCTCTGGACTGAGACATGTACACACTACAGAGGGATAGGCTTTGTTCATATATCATGTCTGAGGTTTACAACCACTAGAAGGAAATGAATAAATTCGTTATTTGAACAGATTCAGAGAGAAGTCATAACACATAGCGTGGCACAATTATGATACAGTCACATGGCCATGGAAAGTGTGCCGTTCTTAGTTTTGCATTCATTACCGGCTTATGGCAATGATCATATGCCAACGAGATGACGTCTTCGTTGTTCCAAACACGTTTTAAACATGTGTTACAGTGTGAAGTTCAAATTATCATTTTAATTTTTAGGAATGCACTGTAAATGCTGTATTGCTGGATATAAAGAAAGGGATTTAAAGCAGAACTCCGGGCAAGCAGCTAAATACTCAGATGAAATACCTATACAGGAGCTATTTTGCCTGCTACAGGATTTGTATTTGTATTCATCCAGGTCCAAGATTTACACTGCCAGACAGCACAGCCAGGTCGATGACCCAATTTTTCTCTGCTGCAGTTAAAACATAGAGATGGGTCAACCCCCCGCCCCCAGCCTGTAACTGGACAGTAAAGGAACAGGAGAAGACTAAACGGCCTATCCCTCTACTCTCCCCCCATCAGCATTGTTGGCAGTAAATTTACAGGATCCCACTTGAAGACCAAGCATTTTCTGCGACGTTTTGTTTGCAAGTTTAAATCTGTTTTTTTTTTTTTTTGCTAGAAGATTACTTTTTTAGAATCCCCAAACATATTATATATATATATTTTTTTTAAATTACATTTTTTTTTTTAGCAAAGACCCTAACCCTAGGTTCACACGTAAGCGTTTTCCGCAGCGTTTTTCAGAAATGTACAGCAGTCCATTTAACATGATTACCTATGGGACAGGTTCACATCTCCGCGTTTTCACTCGGTGCGTTTTTTGGAAAGGGTCAGGGACTTTTTTAAATGCAAAAAGTTGCGCTTTTGGTTCTATAGACTTCAATGGAGATGCTGCAGAAAAGCACCTAGTGCGTTTTGATGCGCTTTTGACACGTTTTTTATGCATTTTGCATTTTTAATCTGCCCAGGAACAAGAAAAACAAAAAAAGACACAAACCGCATCAAAAACACGGCAAAAAAAAACACAAAACGCACTGCAAAAAGCACTGCAGAAACGGATCAAATGCAAAACCTACGTCTAGGTTCACACATATGCGTTTTCCATTGTGTTTTGCGTGTTTCAGAAATGCACAGCAGTCCATTTAACGTGAGTTCCTATGGGACAGGTTCA